CGCCCCTCCTTTCAGGCTGTGGGGTCTCCTGAGATCCCTGAGACGGAGCCAGAAGGGTCTGTGCAGGCCGGGCAGGGCACCCCTCCCATTGGGCTTTGCAGGAGGGGACCTGCTTGGGCTCCACCGTGCCCATGGAGAAGGGAGGCCGGCAGGGCTGAGCGCTGGGCCTGTGAGGCCTTCGCCAAGTGACCTCACTTCTTGGTCCAGGCTGCTGGAGGGCTTCCCACAGCCTGTGCCCACGCCTGGACAAGGCAGCCATCAGGAAACAATACAAACGGCGCCTGTCCAGGGCGGGGACCAGCCGTGTGCTAGCATTGAGGCTGGGTCTGTGTCACTCCAGAACTGAACCCTGTGCCCATCGAAAGTCTTACCAGGCCGGGGCCTTCTCTTGGGCTCCCAGGGTGGAGTCCGGGCCGGGGAGGCTAACGCCTCAGGCTCCCTGCCTGATGGCTGCCCTGAGGTCACAGGGACCAGGAGCCCCTCTCTGTCCCCCGCCCTCCCAGGTGCCGAGCAGAGAGATTGACAAGGCGGAGGGCAAGTTCTGGACACACTGGAACCGGGAGACCAAGCAGGTGAGTGGCTAGCCCTGAGCTTGGCTCCTTCGTGCCCAGCCCTGGTGGCCCTAGCCCCACCCGTGCCTGCTGAGCCTTTCTCCGTCTCTCTAGTTCTTCCTCCAGTTCCACTTTAAGATGGAGAAGCCCCCGGCTCCGCCCAGCCTCCCCGCCGGCCCCCCTGGGGTGAAGCGGCCTCCACCCCCGCTGATGAATGGTCTGCCCCCTCGGCCACCGCTGCCCGAGTCTTTGCCACCGCCACCGCCAGGAGGCCTACCTCTGCCACCCATGCCCCCCACGGGGCCTGCGCCCTCAGGGCCCCCGGGACCACCCCAGCTACCCCCGCCAGCTCCAGGGGTCCACCCCCCGGCCCCAGTGGTGCATCCCCCCACATCTGGCGTCCATCCCCCAGCTCCTGGGGTCCATCCCCCAGCTCCTGGCGTCCATCCCCCAGCCCCTGGGGTCCACCCACCAACCTCTGGGGTCCACCCCCCAACTCCCGGAGTCCACCCTCCAGCCCCTGGGGTTCACCCTCCAGCCCCCGGGGTTCACCCACCAGCCCCTGGAGTCCACCCACCAGCCCCTGGGGTTCACCCACCAGCCCCGGGGGTCCATCCTCCCCCATCAGCGGGGGTTCACCCCCAGGCCCCAGGGGTACACCCAGCAGCCCCTGCTGTTCACCCTCAGCCCCCGGGGGTGCACCCACCAGCCCCAGGGATGCACCCTCAGGCCCCGGGAGTCCACCCCCAACCTCCCGGGGTCCATCCATCAGCTCCTGGGGTCCACCCTCAGCCTCCTGGAGTTCATCCCTCAAATCCTGGGGTACACCCCCCAACTCCCATGCCCCCAATGCTGAGGCCCCCACTCCCCTCCGAAGGCCCAGGGAACATACCTCCCCCTCCCCCAACCAACTGAGAAGCTGCTCCCTCCCCCAGCAAGCCCAGCGCCAGGTGCTCCTGCCTTTTCCCATCGAGAGAAGGCTGCTCTTTTGTACTGCCCCCTGCTCATTAAACAGCCTTCCCCAGCCCTGAGTGCACTGATGTCTGCAGCGCTTGTCAGTGCTGTGTGGGAGTGCCAAGCACAGCACCATCCCTGAGTTTGCGCCGACTGGGGAGGGCCTGGGGCGTGCCAGGAGACACCTGTGGGAGGCCTGAGAGACAGCTGTACCTTGGAGGTGGCCTGGTGGAGGACAGACTCCACCAGCCAGCTAGCAGGGGGTCTGGGGTCCTGTCCTGGGGAGGGAAGAGCAGACTCTTGTGATATCCTTGGGGTCTCCAGATAGCCCACCAGGGGTTGGGAGGGTGAGCAGGGACAGGACGCCCCCACTGACTTGGGACCCTCCTCCTCCAGGCCCACCCCCTAGCACCCAGGACACTGGGCCCCCCGCCCCCAGCGCTGTCTAGTCTGGCTGCTTGGCCATCACTCCCAGCCTGGTTCCCACTCCTGTGCCTTCTGGGGACGGGCCCTCAAGGACAGCATGTTGACAAATCAGGCGCAGCTCTATCGCTGTGGGGAGGGAGATAGGCTGCTGGCGACAGAAAGGGCTCTTTGAGAAGGCCACTCTGCCTGGAGTGGGGGCGCCGGGCACTGTCCCCCAAGGTCGCGGCAGAGGAGATAGGGGCCTGTCCTTTACAAACACCCCACCTTCCACTCGGCTTCCACAAGGCGGGCAGCCCAGCCCCTGGCAGCACCCATGACGCGGGACCTGCCTCTCACCAGCCTGACCCTGGTGCTGTCCGCCCTGGGGGCTCTGCTGGGGACTGAGGCCCTCAGAGCAGAAGAACCAGCTGTGGGCACTGGTGGCCTCATCTTCAGAGAAGACTTGGACTGGCCGCCAGGCAGCCCACAAGAGCCTCTGTGCCTGTTGGCACTGGGTGGGGACAGCAATGGTAGCGGCACCCCCCTGCAGGTCATGGGGGTTCTGAGCGCCTATGAGCGGGCCTTCCTGGGGATCGTGCAGCGGGCCCGCTGGGGCCCCCGAGACCTGGCCACCTTTGGGGTGTGCACCCCCGGTGACAGGCAGGCTGCCTTGCCCTCTCTACGGCGGCTGGGGGCCTGGCTGCGGGACCCTGGGGGGCAGCGCCTGGTGGTCCTGCACCTGGAGGAAGGTACGTGGGGCCCAGCCCCGAGCTTGGCACCGCCGGCCTCCTTCAGGTGGGCCAGGTCTTCCTAGGGAAGATCATTGGCTGGCAGAGCCCACACCCTGGGCAGGGAGGCCGTGGTCTTGTTCCGGGGCTGGGTTGTGGGTCTGTGGCCTGGAAGGTGGGCACTGTGCTCTGTCCTGTCCCTGAAGCCCAGCTCTTAGACCGGCCCCTGCCGCAGTGGCAGGGAGAGAGCTGTTGTCTTCTCGCCACCCATGAAGAAACCACCCTGTGGCTCGGGGCCAGTGGAACCCTCCTCCCCACTGCCCCACACCTGGCCAGCCTGTTCTCGGGGCCGCTGGCCTGAGAGACTCCCTGCGGGGAAGGGGCTTCATCGGACACCCTAACCCAGAGACCCCAGGGCAGCAGCCCCACCCACAGCCTCAGACGCAGCCTCTGCCTGCACAGGAAGGCGGTGAAGAGGGACACTTCGTCCCCCGCTCGAGGCCCCCTGCACGGTGGCCAGAGCAGCAGGGACGGATCCCAAAGACTCCCAAAGGAGTGTGGGACGGGCCTGGCCTTCAATGGCTCAGGCGTCCCCTGCTGTCCTGGTTGCAGTGACCTGGGAGCCCACACCTTCGCTGAGGTTCCAGGAGCCCCCGCATGGAGTAGCCGACCCCCCGGAGCTGGCGCTGCTGGTGCTGTACCCTGGGCCTGGGCCTGGCCCTGAGGTCACTGTGACGAGGGCTGGGCTGCCGGGTGCCCAGGTACCAGGGAGTTGCATGGGGCATTGCCTGGGCCGCGGCAGGGGCATGGATTTGTTGCAGGGTCTGAGGTACTGAGAGAAGTGTAGAACCAGTGGCAATGGGAGGAAGGGCACCGGTAGAGCGGGGCTGGCTAAGCCTCCATCCAGCCGGGCTGAGCCCTGGTCTCCACAGAGCCTCTGCCTGTCCCGGGACACTCGCTACCTGGCGTTGGCGGTGGACCGCCCTGCGGGGGCCTGGCGCGGCTCCGGGCTGGCCTTGACCCTGCAGCCCCGCGGAGAGGGTAGGTGTGCGTGGAGAGGGACCGGGCGCCGGGTCGACTGCCCTCAGCCCCCAGCCCCTGAGCCAACCCCGCGCCCACCCACCGCAGGCTCCCTCCTGAGTACGGCCCAGCTGCAGGCACTGCTGTTCGGCGACGACCACCGCTGCTTCACGCGGATGACCCCGGCTCTGCTCCTGCTGCTGCGGTCTGAGCCAGCGCCGCTGCCCACGCCGCTGCCCGCGCAAGGCCAGCTGGACACCGTGCCCTTCCCGCCGCCCAGGTGCGTGCAGGCCCGGGGGCATGGGGCAGGAGCAGGCGGGGGCCGCGTGGCCTCGCGCCCGCTCTCAACTCCCCTAACTGCGGGTTCCAGGCCAACCGCGGAGCTCGAGGAGTCGCCGCCCAGTGCAGACCCCTTCCTGGAGACGCTCACGAGCCTGGTGCGGGCGTTGCGGGGCCCCCCGGCCCGGGCCTCCGCGCCGCGCCTGGCCCTGGACCCGGACGCGCTGGCCGGCTTCCCGCAGGGCCTGGTCAACCTGTCGGACCCTGCGGCGCTGGAGCGCCTGCTAGACGGCGAGGAGCCGCTGTTGCTGCTGCGGCCCACCGCGGCCACCACCGGGGACCCCGCGCCCCTACACGACCCCACGTCGGCGCCGTGGGCGACTGCCCTGGCGCGCCGCGTGGCTGCCGAGCTGCAAGCAGCAGTTGCTGAGCTGCACAGCCTCCCGGGTCTGCCTCCAGCCGCAGCCCCGCTGCTGGCACGCCTGCTCGCGCTCTGCCCAGGCGGCTCCGGCGGCCCCGGCGATCCCCTGCGAGCTCTGCTGCTTCTGAAGGCGCTGCAGGGCCTGCGCGCGGAGTGGCGCGGGCGGGATCCACGCGGGCCGGGGCGGGCACAGCGCAGCGCAGGAACCACCGCCGCCGACGGGCCATGCGCGCTGCGCGAGCTCAGCGTAGACCTCCGCGCCGAGCGCTCCGTACTCATCCCGGAGACCTACCAGGCCAACAATTGCCAGGGCGTGTGCGGCTGGCCGCAGTCCGACCGCAACCCGCGCTACGGCAACCACGTGGTGCTGCTGCTGAAGATGCAGGCCCGTGGGGCCGCCCTGGCGCGCCCCCCCTGCTGCGTGCCCACCGCCTACGCGGGCAAGCTGCTCATCAGCCTGTCGGAGGAGCGCATCAGCGCGCACCACGTGCCCAACATGGTGGCCACCGAGTGTGGCTGCCGGTGACCCCTGCGCCGCGCGGACTCCTGCCCCGAGGGGCCGGACGTGCCCCAGCTCGCGCCCCTTCCCATATTTATTCTGACCCCAAGTATCGCCCCAATAAAGACCAGCAAGCAACCGAGTGGGGTGTCCGTGCGTGTTAGAGGGGCCGCCCGTCTCTCCTTGGGCACGGCCTGGGTCCACCCTGTAGCGCTCGCTGTCTTTCCCCTGCCTGAAGCGCCCCGCGACGGTCTTTCAGGCCCCGGACTCGTTGCCGGGTCCAGGCGTAAAGAAGCAGATGACTCTGCGGCCGCAGCCCTAGCTTTATTTCGCCAGAGTCGCGGGTTGTCGAGAAGGGGTCCCTGGACTCGGGCGCGGGCCGGCTTAGTCCCGCCTCTTGCCTGCGCGGAGCTTCTGGCGACTCCCAGGCCGCTCCTCCTCGTCGGGACGCCTCGGGGAGACCCAGGCCTGCCTCTTCCTGGGCTCGGCGTCCCTGGAGTCCCGTGCCCACGGCCGATGGCCCCCTTCGCGTGACTCCCAGCGCCGAGGCAGGGCTTCCCGGGGCTCCTTGGCGGCCCGTGGCCTCTCCTCCTTCCGCGGCCTCTCTTTCTTCGGCCTCTCCTCCTTCCGCGGCTTCTCCTTCCGCGGTTTCCCCTCTCTCCGAGGCCTCTCCTTGGGTCCCCGGTCTGCGAGGGGCGCACGGTCCTCCCCGACGGCCTCTCCGGTGGCCTCGTCCTTCTCTGCAGCATCCCGACTCCCGGGAATCTTGGGTCTGATCTCTGCCTCGGTCCGGGGCGCAGGCAGCGCTGATGGGGGCGCCTGGGCCTCGAACTTAGGCTGCAAGACAGAGAATGGGGTCCTGGGGTAAGCGCCCACCTTGCCCCCGGCCCGGGCTCCTTCTTTCCCTGGGGATGAAGGCCCCACTGCCCGCGGTCACTGGAAGGAAGCGCTTACCAGGGGCGACGATGGCTCCCTCGGGGCCGAGCTTGGCGGGACCCAGGGCTCGGGCGCACGCGCTTGGACTGCTGCCTCCCCAGCCACGGCGTCTGCAGCGACAGGGTCGGGACCCGAGTCAGATGGGTCGAGGCATGGACCACACTGTCCATCCGTCCCTCACCGCTAGAGCCCCCCTCCCTGGACAATTGGAGTGGGGCTCCCGCGGTACGGCTGAGGCTAAGGATGCCCTGAGCCGTGGGAAGGGACTCCGGGACTCCGCTGCTGCGGAGCGCCCCTCCTCCGAACCTCGCTCTTTCTTTTATTTTTTTTTTTTCTTTTTGAGACGGAGTCTGGCTCTGTCGCCCAGGCTGGAGTGCAGTGGCCGGATCTCAGCTCACTGCAAGCTCCGCCTCCCGGGTTTACGCCATTCTCCTGCCTCAGCCTCCCGAGTAGCTGGGACTACAGGCGCCGCCACCACGCCCGGCTAGTTTTTTGTATTTTTTAGCAGAGACGGGGTTTCACCGTGTTAGCCAGGATGGTCTCGATCTCCTGACCTCGTGATCCGCCCATCTCGGCCTCCCAAAGTGCTGGGATTACAGGCTTGAGCCACCGCGCCCGGCCCGAACCTCGCTCTTTCAATCCCTCATTCTTTCCCCCGACCACGGGCTGTAGGAGACCCCTAGCAAGGGACGGGTCGCAGGAGTGCCCCCGGGGGGCGCTCACTAGCTGAGCTGTCCCCAGAGAGGGCGCAGGAGGAAGGCGGCAGAACGCTGCGCGGGAGGAGGGGTTGCACAAGGTCCATCCGGAAGCCAGAACCTACTCGCGGCGAGGGAAATGGGCCCCGCAAAAGGTCCAGACGGGGTGAGAGGGGCGCGCAAGGCCCGTCACTTAAGGGGAGATGTACAAACCAACTTTGGGGGCATGCAAAACCTACTCCTGGGAAGGAGGCTCCCAGACCCCACCCTTGCGTCACAGGGCCCTTCCTTGGAGGAATAGGCGCATAGGTGGACCCCAGCCTCGCCCCACCTCTGGGGAGCCCGCGCTCACCGCGGCACAGTTGGAAAGCCGAGCCCAGCAGCGCCACCAGCGAGGCGAGCACCAGGCACTTGTTGAGCGACAGGTCTCCCCAGGGCAGCTCCTGGCTCAGGGCCGGGGGTTGTGGCGGCGGCTGCGGGGGCGGCGCGGTCTGCGCCTTCTTGCGCGCGGGGGCGCTCCGAGGGCCTGCGGGGGCAAGTGCGTGCTGCGCTGTGGCCACTGGCTCTGCGCCGCCCCATTCCCCGGGCACAGGGGGCAAGAGAGAGGCCTGCGCCCTGAACCCGGCTCACCCTACCTGCCTGTGCGGCCCTGGGCGCAGGTGAACCCAGCCCCGGTGCCCCGCAGCTGCACGGGGATGCCCAGAGTTTCTGGAAGTTAACTTCCGGGAGCTGAGTGGCTTAGCCGGTATTATCACGCATTAGTAGAGGCTCCCGGCCCGTTGACTCGCTGCCTGCCACACTTCGACGCCACTCAACCAGGACACCCCCCAAGATCCAAGGACCCAGCTCCGGGACCTGAGCCTCACACCAGTCCTTTCCCACCCCACACCTCACCCACGCCTCCTGCAAACCCACTCGCTCCGGCTTTCAGCCTCTCCTTCCCCGTTCCTGGGGTCCCCCTGGCGGCAGCCTCTTTTTCCATCTTCTTGGGCCTGGTGTCCACACTGCGGCCTTCAGCCACCGGCTCCTGAGAGTCCTGTGGTTATCATGAGACATTCCACATGTTTCCTTCCAGTGCCAAACCCTTCCCGTGGGCTTTAGACACCTGCCTCCCTTGGTGGGCTTGTCCCCAACTCCCCAGGCATCCTGGGTTAAAGGCTGAGGGTCCCAGCTACTCACGTGGGGTGGGCTGCCGGAGTCGGCCAGCCTGGGTGTTGCTGTGAGAACAGAGGGAGAGTCAAGGTTGTGGGGACCCCCAGGCCAATCCCACCCTCTCCCCTGGCCCTGCTGGGTGACGCGCGGGTGACTAACCCCATCTTGTAGATAAGTAGGCAGAGGCCAGCACAGTGGTTCACACCTGGAATCCCAGCACTTTGGGGAGGCTGAGGTGGGAGGATCACCTGAGCCCAGGAGTTTGAGACCAGCCGGGGCAACACAGTGAGACCCCATCTCTACCAAAAAAAAAAAAAAATTAGCCAGGCATGGTGGCTGGCACCTGTGGCCCCAGCTACTTGGGAGGCTGAGGCACGAGGATCACTTGAACCTGAGAGGTCGAGGCTGCAGTGACCTATGATCATGTCACTGTACTCCAGCATGGAAGACAGAATGAGGCTCGGCCTCAAAAAATAAAAAATAACAATAATAAAAAAATATAAAAATACAAAGAAAGCAGACAGGCTTGGAGACAGCTTTGCCGGGAGACACGAAGCATTTCGGTGGCAACGCAGGATTGGAACCTAGATCTGTGTAGCCCAGCACCTGTCTTCCTTGGGGGCTCCTTACAGACCCCTGAGGCAGAAATGAGGGCCGGGGGTTGAACCTGGGGAGCACAGTTTAAGCCAGTCCAGTGTGGGAGGCTAAGAAGCTCTGGTCTCTGAAGATGGGCCTCCTGGCTCACGGGGACCATCAGGGAAGGGCTTCCTCCTGCCAGCACCACAGGGGTACCTGGAGCCCTGTCCTCCTGGGGCTCGGCCAGCGCAGAGTGGTCTTCCAGGGCCTGGCAGCTGCCCAGGCCGCCATCTAGCTCCTCCCAGGCGCTGGTTGCCATGGAGATGACTGGAGCAGCAGCAGGTCCCGGACCAGGCTGGGAGGGATGGGGAACAAGCTCTTGCATTTACTGAGTCCCTCACGGGCCTGGGCCTGACCTGGAGGTTCCGTGGACACCAACTAACAGGCCCCGTCCTGCCACCCTCGACCGAGGCTGTGATTTCTGCCTCAAGCACCCCTCACTCGGGAAATTCACACTCATGCCAGGCACGGCCCGGCGCCCACACCAGGCATCTCCCTGTCCCTGCATGCCAGCCCTGGGGCCCCTCCCTGTAACCCAGCCTCGCTGGGGCCCAATATCCATCAGCACAGCAGCCAAGGCTGCTCTGGCCCAGAGAGGGCGGGAGCCCCTGCAGGGCAACACAGCAGTAAGTCCCAGACACACCCCAAACGAAAACTCTTGGCCCCAGTGTCAGCTCATGTTCTCTGAGACCAGGGACTATTTTTATCTGGTGCCTGAGGCCAGCGGGACAGGCTAACAGGTGCCCCAGCCCCTCCCGAGCCTCTGCTATCATGGGGTCTCCCTCTGGGCCACCCTGACCTGCCATTCTGGGCACTTACATCCCGCCGCATGACCCTGTGAGTCTACAGGCTCGGGCCCCAGCAGCAGAACCATCCTGGCTCCGGTTGTGACAGGCCGGGGCAGGGGAGGAGGGTCCCAGGGGCTGTCTTCTGATCCTGACACAGAGTACCCTGCCTTGTTCCACTAACTTTGTTCCCATATGACAGATGAGGAAACTGAGGCTAGAGACAGCGCCATTGGCTGGAGGGCGCAAGGAGCTTCAAGTCAGACCTGGAGCTGTACTCTTCAGGGTCTCCATGGCCTCTGGCTGCTGGGATTAGGGTGTCCCTATATCTAGGCTGAAAAACCACCCAGCCCTGGGGCTCCAAGACCTGGAAGGGGCCTGTCGCGTGGCCGTGGGGGAGGGGCCCAACAAGCATGGGAGGCTGGTGTGCGGCCCCTGGGTGTGAGTGGGGGGCAGCTCTAGGAACTGGGGGCCCTTACAGTCCTCCGCAACACCCTTCCGCACCCCGGGAGCCCACGCCTCTGCTCGGGACTCCCCCAGCCTCACTTCCTTACCCCCGAGCCTCACTTACCCGCCAGCCGCTTTGCTGAGCCTTGTGGACAGGATGGAGGATGGGGAGGGTGGCCCCGTGATGGACGGCAGCAGGTGGCTGGAGACCGGGGGTGGGCCAATCAGCAGGCCCGCGGGAGTGAGGTCACAGCCAGGAGTCCCCCACCCTTCCCTGCCATTGCAGCAGGGCAGGGCATTGCTCCTACTCACTCAGCACTGGCTGCTGCCATGCCAGGGAGACACAGCACCTGCAGCTGGGACTACAGGCGTGCACCACCACACCCGGTTAATTATTTCTATTCTATTCTATTCTATTCTATTCTATTCTATTCTATTCTATTC